AAAATAAATTATTTTGCAACGGAGATTTTTGGTTGACAGATACAGTACTTTACCATGGAGAATTATCAAGAATGTAACCTCCAATATAAACCAAGAGTGTGTGTAAGAGTGTACCATCGTACGATATGTTTTCCCATGTTGAGTGGGGGGGCTTGTCCTTGGCAGCGCCAGTGGCCAGTGTCCAGCTGACGCTGTGATAATAAAGTCTATAGAGAACTTAGTCTATGACTCCAACCTCTCACATGGCACACAGTGAGTAGGATATGTCGGGGCCCGACACGCCATTACAGCCCTGACAAGAACGCTGACATGGCCCCTACACGTCCACGGTTCTCGACGCCCTCAAGGGGACGCCAGGGCTTCTCTACACCGGCCGGGAACACCACGCGTGCCCAGCAGCAGGCCATGAGTGCATTGATGGCTCAGATGGCGTCTCTAGGTGCTGGCGGTGGTCATGCTTCTATGCCGGTCATGAAGCCCTCAGCAGCTGTCGCTCCAGAGAAGTGTGAGGCAGAAATGCCAGCAGCTGCGTTTAGGACATGGAGGCGGTCCATGGAGTCATGGGTGCTGCTGAACGGGTGGCCACAGCTGGTGGCCACACTCCACATTCGCCTGAACTGCGTCCCCGCACTCCAAAGAGTGATTGACTCGAGATACCCCAGCGGTCAGTGGGAGCAGCTCTCGCCCAAAGAAGCCCTGGACGCCATCAGTGGAATGGTTCTTCAATCTTCAAACCAAGCTGTGAAATGGAACGAGTTTTTCAACAGCAAACAAGGTGAAGAGGAGCCCATGAAAAGGTATTTTCAACGATGCTTCTCAGAAGCAGTGGAGTGTGAGTTTAAATGTCCCACCTGTGATAACGACCTCTCTGAGTACATGCTATTACGTAAAGTTATGGTGGGCCTGAGTAACCCAGTGTTGAAAAGGGAAATTTTCCAGGGGTACTCTAGTTATAATAGCGTTGAAGTGCTTAGAAACAAATGCATGTTATTTGAGGCAGCAGTGAGAGATGCTGGTGTATTGTGTCGTACGTCTGGCCAGGCAGTGGTGGGAACAGTTGCGGAGGCAGTGGCGGGTGGTGATGACGTCACCGGTGAGCCTGAGGTAGCTGCCGCCCGACCTCCACACCCCAGTCGCGGCAGTGCGGTAACTGCGGCGTGTCACATACCCCTGGTAAAAGTAACTGCCCTGCAAGTGGGGCTACATGTCGCAATTGCGGTAAGGTTGGTCACTTCAAAAGGTGTTGTAGGAGTAAGTCAGCCCTAAGTGCTCCTGTGGATGTGTCAGGCGCTGTTACAGTGGCAACAGCCCAGCTATCCCGCCACCCCAGGTTACAAGTGTTCGTGTCCCAGGCCGGGGGCAATTCCCCCGCCACCCCTGTGCTGGCTGTAGCCGACACGGGTGCTATGGTGTGTGTGGCAGGCGCATCCCTGCTCCGGGACATCGGTTTGTGTCTGGGGTCCGCCCCCTGCCGCCTCGGTGTGGACGAGGGGTCCACCGTCCAGGAGGTCTACTTCGTGCAGACAGCCAAGGCCCTCTATCTGTCATTGGAGGCCTGCAAGTGCCTCAACTTGGTGCCTGTCGACTTCCCGCTCCATAGACGTGCTGTGGCTGCCGTGGGCGATGGAGGGGAGCGGCACACTGCCGACGATCTACCTCCGAACCGTTTACCTGAGAGCAGCCGTTTCCCGCCGAGGCCAGTTGAGATACCCTTGCCTCCTTTGGAGGAGAATGTGGCCAGGCTGGAGGCATGGCTACTCACGCACTTTTCGTCTACCGCATTCAACACCAGCAGGTCCCCACTGCCAGTCATGACTGGTCCCCCTCACCGTATCCACCTGACGCCCGGCACGACCCCCTATGCCTGTCACACACCCGCTCCCGTTCCGAAACACTGGGAAGCGGAGGTGAAGGCCCAGTTGGAGGAGGACGTCAGGAGAGGCGTCATCCAGCCAGTGCCTGCTGGTGAGGCTACGGAGTGGTGCGCCAGGATGGTCGTGGTGGCCAAGAAAAACGGTCAGCCCAGGCGCACTGTGGACTTCCAACGCCTCAATGCAAGCTGTCTGAGGGAGACGCACCACACACCTGCACCATTCGACATGGTGTCTGGGGTGCCAGTGCACTCGTTCAAAACCGTCGCCGACGCCTTTTGGGGATTTCATCAAGTGGAGTTGGAGGAGGAGAGTAGACGCCTGACCACATTCATCACGCCGTGGGGACGTTTTCGATACTGCAGGACGCCCATGGGACATTGCTCAGCGTCAGATGCTTACACCAAGAGGTTTGACGACGCTATTCAGGATGTGCCCCGCAAGTACAAGTGCGTGGATGACACTCTCCTCTATGACTCCAGTGTGAAGGGGGCGTTCTGGCACACTTACGATTTTCTGGAGACCTGCGCTCGCACAGGTATCACGCTGAAACCAGAAAAGTTCTTGTTCTGCAGGAGAGAAGCTGAGTTTGTGGGTTTCCTCCTGGGGTGGGACCTGTACCAGCCCACTGCCCAACGTCTGTCAGCCATCAAGGACTTCCCCATGCCGGATCAGCCATCAATCACTGACATCAGGTCCTGGCATGGCCTGGTTAATCAGTTGGCTCCCTTCCTTGCCACTGCACCTGTGATGGAGCCCTTCCGTGAGCTCCTCAAGAAGCCAGTGGGCAAGCAGGTGTATTGGGACGACCAGCTGCGGCTCAAGTTTCGCCAGGCCCAGGACACCATCTGTCAGTTGGCCAGAGACGGCTTGGTGTACTACGACAAATCCAGGCCTACGGCAGCTGTCACTGATTGGAGCAGGGAGGGCATCGGCTTCGTCGTCCTGCAACAATACTGTGCCTGTGCCTCTCCAGAGACGCCCTTCTGCTGCAGAGGAGGGTGGCGGTTGGCTCTGTGTGGTAGCCGACATCTGAGCACGGCCGAGGCCGGTTATGCTGCAGTAGAAGGGGAGGCCCTGGCTGTGGTGTGGTGCCTGCGCAAGGCCAGGCTGTTCCTCCTTGGCTGCCCGAACCTCATTCTGGTGACGGACCACCGCCCCTTAGTTGGCTTGCTAGGGGACAGAGCCTTCACGGATGTGGCGAATCCGCGCCTGTTCAGGCTCAAGGAGAAGACCCTGCAGTACCGATTCACGGTCAAATACTTGCCAGGGAAGCGGAACTGTGCAGCTGACACCCTATCCCGCTTCCCCTCCCTCAGGGCGGCGCCTGATGCGGAGGACATGGACCAAGAGGAGGACCTGTGCGCTGCAGTGTGTGCAGTCACAATCGCAGCACTGGATCAGGATGGGTGCATCACTATGGACGAAGACACAGTGTGCAAAGCGGCGGCGGACGACCCAGTGTACCAGATTCTAGTGTCGAGGGTGCTGGCGGGCGACTGGCACCCCCACAAGTCGCAGGAGGTGGCCTGTCTGCGCCCGTACTTCTCGGTGAGGGACAGGTTGGCTGTGGTCAGGGGTTTGGTCACCTACACCTTTGACCAGGGCTGCGTGCGCCTTGTCATCCCCGACTCCCTCCGCCACCGGGTCGCCGTTAACCTGCATGTGGGGCACCAGGGCCTCGACTCAATGCTCAGGCGGGCCCGGCAGTCTGTCTATTGGCCTGGCATGGAGGGTGACCTGCAGTATCATCGGTCCCGGTGTGCTGCTTGCGAGACCCACGCCCCTTCCCAGCCTCCGGAGTCGTTGGTTCTGACCCCAGCGCCAGACTATCCCTTTCAACAAGTGGTGGCCGATTTGTTCCACCTGCAGGGCCGCACGTACCTAGCATATGCTGACCGACTGACAGGTTGGCTGGAGATCGCCCACTTCCCCAACGAGGCCACCTCTGGAAAAATCATCGCCAGTCTGCGGGCCTACTTCACGAGGTGGGGGGTACCTGAGCAGATCTCCACAGATGGAGGTACCAACCTTGCCAGCCTTGAGATGACAGATTTCCTCAAGTCATGGGGGATCGAGGTGTGCCTCTCGTCGGCCCACTTCCCCCAGTCCAATGGCAGGGCAGAGGCTGGGGTCAAGGCTGCCAAGAGGCTCCTCAGGGATAATACTGGGCCCGGGGGTAGCCTGGACTGCGATAGGACATCCCAGGCCCTCCTCCAGTACCTGAACACGCCTCTGCGGGGGGTGAACAAGTCGCCCGCCCAACTTGCCACCGGCCGCCAGCTCCGTGACGGCGTTCCCGTGGCCAGACAGCACTATAAGGTGGACCAGCACTGGTGGCGGGCACTTCGTATGAGGGAGGTGCGCTTGGCCGAAACACAGGATGGGGTCCTGTCGCGGAGGGAGGTATCCCGCCAGCTGGCTCCCCTAGTCGTGGGCACGCAGGTGCGTGTGCAGGACGCAGCTACCAAGCTCTGGGACAGGACAGGCATAGTGGTGGAAGCCCGCCCTCACAGGCAGTATGCCGTCAGGTTGGGTGGCAGTGGCAGGGTGTCCATCCGAAACAGACGCCACTTGCGAAACGGCTCCACACCTGTGCCTACTACTCCGGTGGTGCACCAAGCTGTGCCTCCTGGGCCCCCTTCTGCTGTGCCCTCCATACCCGCGCCCTCCTCGGCACCCACGGCCCCTCCCCAGTCGAGCGTGGCCAGGCCCAGGAGAGGCCGTAGGCCTCCGGGCTGGTTGACGGACTACGTGGTGTAGCGTATGTGATGTAAAATCAGTTTAGAGGTTTTTTTTTGTTTTTGTTATTTTTCCTTTGTTTGACTCGTTTTTCCTGCATTATTGTTGTTTTTATGAATGCATTGTTTTCCTTTTGTTAGTTCAAAGGTGCATTGTCATTTCCTTTTAACTTGGGGGGGAGATGTAAGAGTGTACCATCGTACGATATGTTTTCCCATGTTGAGTGGGGGGGCTTGTCCTTGGCAGCGCCAGTGGCCAGTGTCCAGCTGACGCTGTGATAATAAAGTCTATAGAGAACTTGGTCTATGACTCCAACCTCTCACAGTGTGCTATTTAATATTTACACTAACTGAAAAATAAATGGTGCATAGGGGAAATAAAAATGAATTCTGTATTATGCCTATAAAATATAAAGGTAATTTTCCATATCTCAACTTATATTCCAATTCAAAAATTAAAATTGCTCCATCAGTTAAACATACTGTCACAGCTAGTTTTATATATAACTGCCCTTAGAAGAGTTGAATGTGTCATGTAATGTATTACAGTATTTTATATTCTATCTGAAGAAATTTAATTCGACAAAATGACAGAATGACACAGAGGACAGTGGGCTCGCATGGTCATATCTTGTTCCAGTGCAGAATGCTTGCAGGCTGAGCATGTCCATACAGCAGTTACATCCATTATTGGTCGGCCTGTTACAATGCAGGTTGCAAATCGTGTGTTGCAGCTTGGACAGACACTAACCCTGAAAGAAAATTCATGTGGTATTAAAGCCTGTTCATATTATGGAGAAAACCTTGTACATGATTGATTCAATTTATGAAAGGAAAGGGGTGAGTTTCTGAAAAACCTTTCATAAATTGAAGCTATTTTTCCAATTTGCTATGGGGAAAAATGTCCCCCAAATATATACACATTTTTAAGCATTTTTTATGAGAAACGGTACTTCTGAGTATATGTATTAGTCCAAATAACATAAATAAAACAGTGCAGTACAGTAACGAGTATATTCAATCCAGGAATATCTCGCTTTTCACAGCCACGCTTATCTGCAATTGACATTTTAACACCCTTATAGGATATTCGCAAATTAGACCCTGCTTATTTGTAAAGAAAACTTATGGTACCCTACAACAATATTTCAAACTGCAGGGGCTAGCTGCAGCTCTCATATTATGGTGTAAGGCCCGCTTCACAGGAGAAAGTTTTTTTTTCTGCACATGAGGACTTGCGTGTTTTAGAAATTTCTGAACTTCAATGAGACTGTTCACACAGAGCATGTGTGTGAAAATTCATGTGCGGGAGACACTCACTCCACACCCGTACCTATACAGTGAACCCTCACTTTACGCGGTCAATTGAACCCACGGAGGCCCGCGTAAAGCGAGAAACTCATAAAGTGAACAACATAACACATGGGATTAAATGAAATAGAGACCGGCTGACCCCCAAACTCCACTTTTTCCGACACAATACCTATGTTCTAGTAAAAATAACATCTTAATTTTCTGATGGTACATGCACACAATTAATACTTAAGAGAAATACAGTCGCCAAGTTAATGTCCATTCAAATAATGGACTCAACTCCCTCCCCCCTCTTCTCACACTCGCTGGCTCTTCCCTCTCTGAGAAATGTTTGGGGGAAAACCACTAGATTTTAAGGTATAGTAATAAATAATACCTCAAACTAAAGTTAGGATAATATAATTGACATTGCTGGATTCCTTGCAAGACCAGGAATATTTTGAATATAAATGTCATATATTTTGCACAAAAGATAACATATTTACTCAGAGTAAACAAAATACTTAAAGTAGATCTAAAATTTGTATGTCTAATGCAAAATCTATGATGTTTATATTCAAAATGATCATCAAATTGTAAGAATTCCAGCAATGTAAATTATATTCTGGCCCGGTAATTTGTATGAATTTTATGAGCTAAAACAAATATCTTCAATAAATAAACAAAATATACTTACCGAAATACTATCTGTCAATCAAAATACCCCACCTCCCCCCCTCTTCCCACCTGCTCCCTGGGTCCCTCCCTCCCTCCCTACCCTTCACTCCCACCTTCCCTCCCTACCAGAGAAATGATTGGGTTATAACAGTATATTTACATTTTTAGTAATAAATAATAACTCAGACTAAAGTTAGGATAATATAATTGACATTGCTGGATTACTTGCAAGACCAGGGATATTTTGAATATACACGTCATATATTTTGCACAAAAGATAACATATTTGCTCTGAGTAAACAAAATACTTGCATTAGATCTAAAATTTGTATATCTAATGCAAAATCTATGATGTTTATATTCAAAATGATCATCAAATTGTAAGAATTCCAGCAATGTAAATTATATTCTGGCCCTATAATTTGTATGAATTTTATGAGCTAAATAAAAAAATTATACTTCACCCGCGTATATGAGCAGATGCACCGCGTAAAGTGGGAATTCCGGTTCTGGCAGGGTACCGCATAAATGTAGAAACGCGTAAAGTGAAACCGCGTAAAGCGAGGGTTCACTGTACAGTATTTTCTTGATTTAACGGACTAATTTGAGCCACGCCTTTCCGTTTTATCAAAATTTCCACTAAATTGAATTTCTGATATTTTTGCTCGATTTAGCAAACTAGTCTAAATTGAGTGTGATTCGGTCAAATTCCGTGCCAAATGCGCCACTTGGTGCATAGGGTTTGCTTACATCCACTCAGTCCGTGTTCCTGCCACCACCACGTTAGTTAGTTAGTTAGTTGACTGAGATGTAGACCGAGATACATCTCAGTCAACTAACTACTGTGCTTAGACATCATGCCAAAAGTCTCTCAGAAGTCTCAGAGGAAGTGGTGTGTGGGAGAAAGTCAAAAGAGTGCAGCTAGCAACTGGAAAAAAGTTTGGAAATTATAGAAAAAAAATTAAACAAACACCAAACCCCCTAGTTTAAGGTAAGCCATGAATAATGTTTCTATGTACATATCATGTGTCTGAGGCATCTCTGTAGGTGTGAGCATATTAATGGAATTAATCTCGAATCAGTAAACAAGTTCATTTAATCGAGTGAAAAATAACGGAACAAATTTCTTCCGCTAAATTGAATTTGTTGTACAGTATTGGATTCTGTTAAATCGAGAGTATGCTGTACTTCTAAACTGCGGCATTAAAAAACTGCTATTGCGCATATGTGAATTAGATATTTGGGTTCTGTTACTTACAAATTATCCAAGTGGCTGGTAAAGATGATATCCCCTCTTACAGGCCAAATATCTAATTCACATATACGCAATAGCAGTGTTTTTGTCACGATTTTGTCCCACATTCCACTGTAATACTTACGTCATTTCAGCAAAAATATTTCATTTCTGTGAATGTAGTATATCAAGCACAGTATGAATATAATATCATTGTAATATAACAGTATTTTAACCGAAAACTATTAAAAAAACGAGTAACATCTCTTGAACATTGGAAGGTTAGGTGAAGTCTTTTGTTTTCGTCATGTATTTTATCCTATTTTACATTGAAATACATCACGTTTCAGCAAAATTACTATTTATTTCCAAGAATATATTCATTCAGGCGCAGTTTAGGTAAAATATACGTGTGATGTAACATTTTTTTAATTGAAAACGATTCGAAAAACACGTACCCTCTAGCCCTGTTCAAGGAGAGGACTGGGAGAAGCTGTTTGGTGCTGCCGATGGCAAGGAAAATGATTTGGATGGATTTTAATGAAAATATTCAGAAATATGGTATCGTAGTATTTATTCAAGTCAATTAGGATAGAATATTATTGTAATACAACAGTAGTGACGATGTGGAGGAGGCGGAGGGATAGAGCGGGGAGGAGGCGGAGGGATAGAGCGGGGAGGAGGCGGAGGGATAGAGCGGGGAGGAGGTGACTGGCAGGGACGAGTGGAGATGCCAGCCAGTACATTACGGGTGTATTAATTGTTTTTATAGCTATTTTTGCATTTTAATGTTAAATACTGTACATTACGTTTCAACAAAACTACCATTTATTTCTGAGAACATGGAAATGTAATATTTTTGCTGAAATGATGTTCGTATTACAGTGGAGAGGGACGAAAGCAATGACTTTCGCTTTCTTTCGTTCAAAAGATGTTACCGTAATCGCTTTTCGAATGGTTTTTAGTTGTGGGATTATAAGGCTAATGATAGGTTAGAATATTATTGTAATACAGTACGAGTACAACAGTTTTTTAACTGAAAACCATTCGAAAAGCGATTACGGTAAAATATTATGAACAACGAAAGAAAGCGAGTCTTTCGTCATGATTTTATCCCACTTCCCACTATAATATGTACGTCATTCCAGCAAAAATATTACATTTCCATATTTATTTCCGAGAATATATTCATTCAGTCACAGTTAAGGTAAAATATACTTGTGATGTAATATTTTAATGAAAATCCAGTATCGTAGTTTTCTCTTGTTTTAAATTTAATTAACAAAGATTGATGTTTCAAATGTAATGAACAAAAATTTATGTCCAGTATCTATAAATTAACTTTAATAAAAGAATACTTTGTTTTACATCGTCCTGTGCTACCATACCATGGATTTGGCTACTTTGGGCTCGTAAGAGATCTGCCCTGGCAACTGTACCGACACTCACAGCTGGTGGTGTGTTGGTGCATCGTTTCCATTGTTTACTGGTAGTTACTGGTAAATATTTTTCAACCTAATGAAACTATTACCCGTTTAGGGGGGGGGGGCAGCAATAGTACACGGATTTTTAACATTCACGGGTATCTCTGTTACCTAACCCCCGCGAATGTTCTGACCTCACTAGGGGAAAGGTCACGGCAGGGTTAGCTCCGGAGGGATAATTATCAGATATGGCCAGTGCTATGTGCGGTCTTGGGTATGAGAGTTTGTTGACCAAACTGGAGTGGTCCATGGAAAAATTGGCCAAGGCAAATGAAGAAATTGAGAGGGCCACGTTGGAGAACCTGAAATTAAAAGAAGAGCTGGCGAAGTTAAAAGGGGAGGCTGGACGAGTAAAGCCAGTGTCTGACGAAAACTCAAGCGAGTGGAAAGTTGTGAGTAATGGGAGGACCAAGCTGGTGGTGAAGAAGTACACCAAGGATACGTCAACGACGACAACAACAGCTAAGTGTACCAACTCGTTCAGTCCCTTGATAGACGAATTGGAGGTTAGTACAGTCAGGGACAGGGATGACAAGGAAGGTATAAAAACTTTAATTGTTGGTGACTCACACATAAGGTACATGGACAGGGCCTTTTGTGGTAAAAACAAAAATAGGATGAGGGTGTGTTTGCCAGGAGCTGGGGTGGGGGATATAACTGACAGGATGGACAATATCTTGTCTGGTAATGGGAACAAACCCATTATCTGCCTCAGTGCAGGAGGCAATGATATTGGTCGGTGTAGGAGTGAGGAGCTTCTTGATAAGTTCAAGACAGCTATAGATCGTATTAGGACTAAGGGAGGGATCCCTATCATATGCGGTGTCCTGCCTAGAAGGAGAGTTGGCAGTGAATGGTTGTCAAGGGCGGTTGGTGTCAACGACCGTCTTGACAGATATTGCAAGTCAATATCAGTCCCATTCATTGACAACTGAGACAACTTCTATGGCAGAAGGGACCTTTATGCTAGGGATGGGGTGCACCTGTCTAGGGATGGAGTAGCAACCCTGGCTGGGGCTCTAGAGGGGGCAGTTCAAAAGATATCGAAGTCTTTAAACTGCTA